TGTAGCATCTGACTCAGTGTTCTGTTTTATTTGTATTTTGTAGAGTTAAACACAAACCTGAGTTCAGTCGCATCAGAGGTTGCCTGCCGCAGAAGCACAGTAAGTGCTTCTCGCAATAAGCTCATGCCTATTTAACGCAACATCCTCAACGTATAAAATGCTTGTACGCGGCTTACAGAACGAATATTATATTAGTTCAAGTTGAAAACAATAATGACAAAACTTCAGTGTCGGATACATCAGGAGTATATAAGTTGACTTGTGGCTCTTACCCAAAACTTTATATTGACCAAACGGAAAGAACTTTTTCCAAATAATTAAAAAGAATAAAAATAGGTTTTTGAATGGAATGACCAATTCCACATTTGCAAATCATCTTTCAGCAGAAGGACGTGAGTTCAATCATCACTATGATGTGTTACATTTAGAAGAGAAAAATTTGAAATTTTATCTTTCAGAATGTTTAGAAATAAATAGGTAATTTACTGAATGACCAAATATAATTAAACAACTCAAGGTAATTTTTTTCATCATAGGTTTATTCAAATGAGGTTGTACACTTTCTCTTCTTATGTTATATTAAAGTTTATTGATTTTCTCCCAGATTTAGGTACACATTTAACATTAATTGGCTAGATAAAACTCGGGTACCTAATTAAAATTTAGGTACTTCAAATTGTAAAAACATTGAGTATGTAGATTTCAGTTAGTAAAGATACGCCTGAAGAAGCTATTGTATAGCGAAACACGTGTTGCGTTTTTGTAAAACTGTTTAGTGAAAATCTCACAATGAAGTGTTTCTTGAATTCGTTAGGCGGGATGTTCATCAAGTATCGGCTGATTATATGACATATTTCTTTTCAGACTTACAGATTTCATTTTTGTGGATATATTAAATGAAAACAATAGAAACTAAGTATTCTATGATTGTACCTCTGTATTTAGTCTATATACAATGGTTGTACCTATTGTAGTTATGGATTTTCACGTGAAATCGCCCGTTTGCCATCTCTCGTTTCTTTCGAGTGCAGAGTGGTACGCCACAGATTACTGCTGTCATCGAAATACTAACGAACAAAGGCTTTCACTACTCCAAAGCAGATGGCACTGTCAATAAACCACTAAAATATTTCGAACGTTGATCTTCAAAATAAATTTTTCATTTTTTCTCTTACCTATTCCCGTGAAGGGCGGCACTGATGTCTTAGGACTTCATGCCATCATCTATCAGTTGTTTACCCATTGGTCCCTCTCAAGGCCATAATCAGCCAAAAGAGTAGGGGAGCTGGTCTCCAAACCTGGAAGAAGTGACGATGATGGCATTCTCTTACCTATTATCTATTAGTCGTAGTTACTTTTTTCTACTATCCTCGAGAAACATTTTGTGAAACTAGGAAAGGCGATAATTAGAATCTGTGACCAGGCACCAATGTCCTAGGTAATCAGTTTTACAAAAACTCAACAGGTGTTTCGCTATACAATGCCTAGAGTATAGACACGCCTGAAGAAGGATTTTTGTAAAATTGTTTAGTGAAAATCTCTCGAAAGTGTTTCCTAAATATCTTATGGATTTTCTTCAAGCATCAGTGCAGGGCCGTAGCGAAAAAAAACAGGTGGGAAGAGAATCCAAATTTTCCCAACCCCACCAGCAAAATTTCCCAACTTTCGAAGAAATGAAAGCCGAGGGATTGGTTACTACTATAATATATTAATTTTCTTACTTACCTATCCAAAGATTGGCTGAATGCTTGTGGACTGTTCAGGACTGTTTTCTTACTTGGGAGAAATTAAACTTTCTTGAAGATTTCAAACAGCTCAGAATTCTCTTCTAGTTATTCATGTTGGGAAAACCCAACCTTCTCCTGGTTCTTTCCCTTTTTTTATTACCTCCCCTTTTCTTTTCTCTCATTTTTATTTTGTTAATTTTTATTCATTTTTTTTACTATTATTTTTTTCTATCTTCATGGCCCGAAATTTTCCAACGATTTCCCAAGTCGAAAAAGCAGGGGGGGAGGCTCCCCCCATGGCGACGGCCCCGCATCAGCTGATTCCGTCATTCTGTCACATAACCCAACTTTATAATAGAATATGACACCAACCTCGACAGAATTATAGGTTTCTGATTTCACTGCAAAAAGATACTGAACATCAATGAATATAAGGACATTTATAATTCTGTTGCATCACATTGATATCTCTTCCTATAATATTGCTGAAGTTTTGGAGAGTCGAATCTTATGCAGAACAATACATATCAAAAATCGATTTCTTCAATATAACTTATGTATAAATTTTCCCATAGGAACGCCAAAATATAAATAGTGTTACAAATTCTCTATACCTAACTTCCAATGTATAGCTCGAACTATCTGACTTACTTCCTATACCAATAATGGCATTCCTATTATTTATTTCCAAACACTAAGTTGTATGAAGACATCTCTATATAAATATTCAATGCTTTGTGAATAAGGCTCTTTCGAAACAAGTCACATGTCAGATATAGAGCCAAAATTTCTCGCTTGATGATTTCGAAATTATTTTATACATACTTTCGTATCGACGACGTGCAAAATCAAATCACAAAAATGTTTTCATTTGAAAGTATGTATTCATTCTCACAAACGACATAACCTCTATAATGATTCAATTATGAATGAAATTTAAAGAAAAAAGATCATTCATCATTGCCTTAAGTGTTACAAAAGCATGTATGTATAACAATCTTCATATAGTATTATTATTCGTCCAGTAAAACTGATGACAGTAGGTACCCCACCCCATCACTCATTCTTCGATCATCTTTGTGACGAAATTATTTCAAGGAGAAAATTGATTGATTTCAAACAAATTGAAATAATTTCATGTCAACATATGGCTATAATTTGTTCACAGGAACAGATGACATCAAAGAGCAAATAACAAATTCGAGAACAACCAGTTGCATATATGGTGACCCAAATATTGTATTAAAATTTGATAAATATGATTCTATTTGAAGAGTGAACTGAATACTGTTGTACTGAATGTTGTCTATGTAAGAAAAATATAATATAATCTATATGACTCAATTTCTTTATTGTCTATTCTTCTTGTGATATAAACATTCATTTAACATATCAAAAATGACACTTTCAGGATTTTCATAAATAATACTAGTGACTTCAGCTAAGCTCCCCAGCTTTGCATGGGTCATAGCATATTATATGCTCTTATTTTTTCTGTCAGTGTCATATCAGCTTGAAAATGATATCTACGGTCTTTGATGAAATTCACTCAAATCAAATAGTTATGAACCTATCTACCTGAAACAACACAAAACAAAAATGTGAACTTGACCCAAAAATGAGTTGCAAAGGAAGTCTTTGAGAGATCAATATCCTATCTTTAAATAGTTTTTCAGTCACCAGATTGAATATTATCATTATTTCAAGCATTAAAATGCTATCCTTGAAAAAGAAACATTTGTAACCTAAGCTATAAAAAAAAGCATCCACTTTTTTTATATCAGAAATAATATCTTAGAAAATAATATGGCGGACAATACATCTCAGCCAAAAACATCTCAAGTCTGAAACATCTCGCACAAAAAATATCAACACAAAAATATGTCAATAACGCTAAAAACACGAGAATTTTTTGTCCTGAGCATTTTTTTACTAAGACTTGCTGCTGCGATATTTGCAGCTGAGAAATTATGAAGAGGTACCTAAAAATGTATAAATACTGGTAGGTAGTTCTAAAGTGAGTGGGTCTATGCGACCCTCCACCGCAACCCATAAGGGTTTATTGTGGCTCACACCTATTCACACTCGGCCAAATAAACCCAGCTTCTTAACGCAGCCGATTAGTTTGTATGGTGAGTGGTCGTTCAGGTCAGATGGTGAGAGTACGGATCTGCCGAACTCAAAGAACCTGATTCGGTTCCCAGCGGGGCAGGCACAAAGTATATGCTCTGCAGTTTCATCATTATCCAGACAGAGGCGACACACACTGCCTTCCAACAATCCAAGTCTCTGCATGTGATGATTCAAATGACAGTGACCTGTAAGAAGGCCTGTTAGACATCATAGTTCATCCCTACTGTAGTCCAACAACTGTTTGGAATCAAGCTTCGAGGGTGAATAAACGCCTTGAAGTGAACCAATCCTGGAAGATTCTGCCAGAAGTCCATAACTCTTCTTGCCATCCAGGTGTCAAGTGTTTGTTTGGCAAAGCCCAAAGCGATGCCAATGACAGGTTCTGGTCCAATGAAGCCGCTTGCAGAACCTTCCTCTGCGAGAGAGCCGGCAGATTCATTGCCTTCCAGGCCAGTATGGCCAGGAATCCAGACCAGAGACAATCTGTTTAGTCTTCCTATCGAGGAGAGTCTTTTTTGGCAGTTTTCTACCAATTTAGACGTTGCTGGGTGGGAGCCAAGAGCTTCCAACGCCGCTTGACTGTCCGAGAATATTTTTATTGACTTGTGAGCGAGGTTGGATTTATTTAATCTTTCCACACACAATTCAATAGCGTAAATTAGTGGAATGTTTTATTATATATGGAAGGTAGGTATTAGACATGCTCCTATCTTCACACAGGTAGAACTGTTTCCCAGACCTTGCATATTGATAATGCCATATTTCAACCAATTTACACTAACACACTATCGAAATGTACTCAAAAATCTTACCTTTGAATCATTCTGTCTATTGATGAAAACCACATCGAAATACATTGAGTGGTTTTTGAGTTTATTCCTTCAGACAGTCATACAGAAGTGGTGCTGGTGAATGTTTTATAATATGTAGTGATAGTGATGTCAGATCAAGATCAGGTTGAAATTCTCGACGGTGTGTCCCAATCAAAAACGTGCATTCCTTGAAATTTGCTGGAATATAATTTTTTAGTGGTTCACATTTTTCTAACTCACTTCTGCCAGTTCACCTAGTTCAAGAACCATGAAATTTATTTTCACTAGTAGGTAGCTTTTCAAAATTGATATGGCAGAACCACACAAATTACCCGACAATAAAAATTATTTATTCTTTTATGTAGCTAATTATTTACATATAGTGGTTATTTGTTATTTGAATTTACAATGTTTTCTTGATTGGTTTAGGAGCCACACTAACTTTCACTGGTTTGCACAAGTCTAATAAAGTTGGTGTGGAGTCTGCTACAACTTTTCTCTTTCCGATATCCGCTTCAGGAATCGCAAGGGCTATGTTTATCTCTACATCACAAGGTTCAGACCAAACTTGATGAGACACTAGAACTGATGTTAAAAGCCTCATATTATGGCCAATATGTGAATCTGAAATGAAAAGTACCATTTACTCATTACAGATAAATCACAGAATGTACTTTACTGATGCTTTTATATTGTCAGAAACTATAACATGTATAAATTAAGAGGAATATACTTTTAGGGGCGATACATTTCTGTTTTGGTTCTCTACTTCTCCTTTTCCATAGAAAAAAGTGGGGAATCTTCCAAAGAAAGGAAGAAAGCAAGAAAGCAATTAGTTTCAAAATAATTCTATACGAAGAAGTGTAGATCACGCAAAGAAGTAACTTTCAGACACAAATTGGAAGAAAAAGTCCTTTTGAAATAACTACTTTCTATAAACATTGAATTACACCAAAGAAAAATACTTTTGAAACAAATAATTTTACATGAATATTGAATTATACAAAAAAAACTTTTTTCTATTCAGTTTGTACTCCAAACAAATAATTAATAATATTCAGCATGGATACATCAAGGAAAAATCAGTAGAGGCAGCCATTATGCAATTTACGGAAAAAATAGTAAAGTCATTTGAAAATAACCATTTATTGTTAGGCATTTTCTTGGATTTATCTAAAGCCTATGATTGTCTCAATCATAAATATCTACTTGAAAAACTCGAAAGGTATGGAATTCATGGAACTGCATCAGATTGGTTCACATCATACCTAACAAATAGGCAACAAATAGTAAAAATATCAATTGATGGAAAGATAGTTAAATCTAACGTAAAAACAAATAACACTGGGGTTCCTCAAGGCAGTACAACAGGTCCAATTTTATTTGTACTCTTTATGAATGACATCTCGAAAATATTGCAGCATCCTGTAAATATATCTTGCAGCATTACTAAATATGTGGATGACACAAATTTATTAGTTACTAGTTCTAACTTATTTGATTTAACTCAACAGGCAAATTATTTCTTAAGTGAAGTAAGTAATTGGTTCACAAAAAATAAACTTATATTGAATGTCCAGAAAACGAACATTATTTTGTTTCGAACCCAACAACAAAAAATAGATACACCAAGTAGTGTACAATTGTCTGGTAGCGAAATGAAATTAGAAAAGAATTCAAAATTTTTGGGAGTATTTTCAGATGAGCATTTGCAGTGGAATATCCATATAGAAAACTTAGCAAAAAAATTCAATAACTTATCTTACAGTTTAAGAGTAGTAAGTAAATATCTAAATGATTACCCATTAAAAATTATCTATATTGCAAATTTTGAAGCATCACTAAGAATTGGGATTATGTTTTGGGGAACGAACAGTCACATGACTCATTTATTTACCATTCAGAAAAGAACAATAAGATGTTTATTTGAAATGAAATATCAAGAAACCTGTAGAGGAATTTTCAAAAAAAATCACATACTTACTGTGTATGCAATTTATATATATGAATGTGTACTATATCTGTATAAACATAAAAATAACTTTACAAAGTGTGTGGACCTTCATAATTATCAAACACGTAATTGTAGTAACATATCTTATCCAATACATAGATTAGTAGTAACTGAAAAACATCCCTCTTATTCCTCTATATGACTTTTTAATAGACTACTAGAGAACATTAAAACCTTGAACATCAACAAATTTAAAACAAATGTTAAATCCTTCCTCATTGAAGTAGAACCATATAATGTAGAAGACTTTCTAAATTATTCTTATTAGATATTAGATTTAAGAATCATGAAAATTGACACTGTTTCAATGTTTTATTTTTCGCCGATTTGTGTAAAACACTCTTTGAAATAAAGATTATTATTATTATAGAATTGATTCAGATATAATTCACTGGATTACTGTACAATATCATATATTAAAGAGATAATATTTCACGTACATGGAACACTACTATCTTCAATGGCGGACATTGATGTTTCGGAATAAAACAATTTGTATTTGAAAAACATATCGAACATATTTACTCATTATATTCCTAAATGATTCTTGAATGCTTCTTAGATGTATCCTAAAGGTTTCATCTCTTTGAATGATTAATACATTGAAAAACGAAATGAATATAAAAGAGTGATTTGTTATACATCTAAAACATTTCTAATGAACCTGCACAGTGATGAATGAAAAAAATAGTTTCAATACCTTTTTCTGCGGAATCATAATAGAGAGGTTTCAGATGTGCAGGCCTCGGTAAGATAACTTGAGTTTTCTGATCTGGATATTTGATTTTCAGTCTTATCCTACTTGGGTCCATCAAATATCGCAATTCAGCTTCGAAAGGAACTGACATAATCAAACCAGCTGTGAATTTTAAAGACGTGTCAGTATGCCCACTAGGTTCCAAGATTACCGCAGAGCTCATACAAATCTAGAATGAAAAATAATAGTAACGATCAGTTATAGTGTGAAACACTATCCCAAGGGACAAACTCACATTTACATTAGGTCGTGGTATTTTTCCCATCTTAGCTTCTGATAGAATCGGTATAAGTATCCTAGAAACTGCTCCCGGCTTCGGTTCTTCTAATTGTGCCAATTCGGAAAACACTAATGAAGTGAAATTGTCAGGTTGGAGTCCAGCTTGAGTCAGTTCTTTTTGCATGTCCTCTACCACAGTCAAAAAATGGTGACATGGAGCTAAGGCAGATGCGTTGCTACCTATAAAACCCATAAAGTGTCATGAGTTGTGAATCAAATCATCAAACTATACTGAAACAATCATATGGCACAATATTTATGAAAATAATAATATATGAGATTCAGACTATTACAGGACGTGTTAGGAATCACACGTTAAAAGGTAAGACCTCGTTAGTTCTTAGCTCGCACAAGTTTCGACTTCTGAGGGTTGTCTTTCGTCGGAGTGCTATAGCTGGTTAACGGAAATAACATATTTCAAAGACATTTTTTTAATATATTTAAAAACCATGAATGAAATGATAAAAACTTTGTGTCCCATTTCTCACCCGAACTCTGACAAAAACCATTGGAAAAATGTTGAGAAATACTTTCGATAGTTAACAATTCTGAAATACAACAATAGATCATGGCTGTGACATTTTCCATATTCTATTTTTTTCTGTTGTGTTGCTGAATTTTATTTCATTGACTTGAGCTTCGCAACTATGTAAATCATGAGCTATAATGACTTTGACAGACTTGTTCTACTACTTGAAAGCCATCTGACTTGCATTTCTTCCAAGTCTCTGGAAAATGGAGCAGCCACATAGACTCAAGTGAATATTTCCTCCCGCCATCTTATGATACCCCTCACAACCCCTCAATGTACGTTTTTACTGGGTCCTTAGTTACATGTTTGTCACATTACATGGACACATGAAAGGATAAGATACTGAACTTATAAACTTGTGGAACCCAGGTTCCACAAGTTGAATGATGCCTTCAAACCATTTTTCAAACAACTCCGCATTCATCTCTTCATGATAGTCGCCTGTTTTCTTAGATTTAAATATCAACTCACCATTTGGCAAAAATCCACTGTCGCTTCCTATATGCGTAACTATCAGACGACTACCTTTTCCAGATGGCTGTTTTAACCCAACTGACAAACCTTCAATAAAGGGTTGTCATGCACTTGTTATATTACCATCCTGCCATACTTTTTTGACCGTATGTCCTTGGTTAACCCATGTCTCGTCCATGAAGTACAATTTTTTTTTGAGCTCCCGAAATTCGTCAATTTTTCTTAGATAGTTTCTTCTCCATGCTATTATTTCTTGACGTTCAAAGAGAATGCTTTTCCTGTCAACTTTTCCGTACGTAAATTTCATTTCGTGTACAAGTTTCCTAAAAGTTTCTTTATCCATTTTTGGGACCAATTCATGATCGCAAGTGCCTCCAGAACTGTTTGTAGTGTGGGCAGCTCATTTCTGAAAAAGAAACTGTGAATAGTTCTGCGTATACTGGTTTTGGCTTCTTCATCAACTGTGATTTTTTTTCGTCCACTACTAGTTTTTGGCGTTTGTACGTCCCCATGAATTTCTGCTTCTCTTAGTATTTTGTAAATCGATGATTTTGGTACACCGGTATAATCAGAGCACATATCAACTAATTTATCTTTTGTAATTGTGGAACTTAATGATGTAGAAATGCCCGGTTGGTTATTCGGAGGTACACACGTATAATTACAGCACATATGCACAAAGTCATCTTTTGGTGGCTGATGATCTCTTTCAAGACAGTGAAATACTCGCAGTACAATTTGTTTTTCTCTTACTGACCGAGACTCCGACCGTTTTACCTTTTTCGACGTGGAAGGCCCGACCATGTCTCCCATTTTTTGAGTAGTTTGAAAACGGTGTAGAAATATAATTATGTAACGCTTAAACACTTATTAGCACTATTATTTTCACCAATTGTTATCACAACACGTCGATTGCTGACTAACTTAACTGTAAAACGTACAATTCACGCTGTATAATTCACAAACCAATGATACGTTCATGGCTGCAAGTACATTAGTGAAGACTGCAACGATGAGATGGAAGTTACGGTAAAGTGACAAAGACAGAAATATCATTGCATACAGCGTTGCCACTAGTTGTAATAAATATCTAACACTATACAGAAAATAATGAATTTTAACTGATCAGTAATCAGGAAATGTATAAGTATTACTCATTACAAGCTCATTACTCATTTGTGTCATAAATAATACCTTTTAATCGTACTAGTATTGTGTATTATCTATAATTTGCCACAACCTACAACTCTACTGCTCACTATATTTTGATTCTGCTATAAACTGGTAACGTAAAATTTAGATATGACAACGCGCTTTACTCTCAATCATTATTGGTTTTACTATATATATTTTTCACACTTTGATAACAAATAAAAATACATACTGTAACATTTTGGAATTGAATAACAACAGAAAAAATAAAAATATGTTTAGGCAGCCTCAACATCAATTAGATGTCCAATGAAAATCTCTCAATAAAGTGTTACTTGAATATGTTTCAGATTTTCATTAAGCATCGATCAATTCCATCACATATCAAAAGAAACAATTTTCAGAATTTCAACATATGGCCTCGCAGGCTGATCTTTTGTATTCTAACTGTATTTCAGTGGTTTTCTAAATTGAATCTCATTTCAACTGTATTTTTTTTATCTTGAATGTATTTGTGTCTTTTGTATATGTCTTGTATGTAAGGAATACTTCATATCCTTTTTTGATTTCCTTTGCACATAATGAAGTCAATAAATATCTATGCAATAACTCACTATCATGGTGACAGAAATGAGATATTAACTACTATCCTCAATAGGTTTCAAAGGAATATTGTAATATATACAACAGGTATTTACTTCCATATGTGAATGATCCCTCCCGAAAGTTACTCTCCCCCCCCTCCAAATTCAGATACCGCCTTTGTTGGGAACACAAAGAAATAGATTGTACATCAATAAAAGGATTCAATAGATACCGCCTTAAAGAAAGTGATGAATAAAATACTGTTAGGAAATAATTTTTCCAATATTTACAATCATCAAGAAGTGTAAATGAATGAGCTTACCTTTTACAATATAAACTAAATTCAGTGCCAGGGCTCTAAGTCTAAACTGCTTCACAGCGCACTGCTCAACTGAACTCAATCCAACAAAGAAAAACTGCAATTTCAAACAAAGTTGCAATAGATTGTCAATACTTGTTTTAAGATTATTGGCCTGTTGTGTTGCTAATGTTCCAGGATTAGCCCAGAAACCTACAAATGAACATTGATTATTATCATTGAAAAAATATAATTGTTTCGTCGAAAAGTTCGCGGTTGCACTCCTACTGCATCACAAGTGTGCTGCATCTACCGATTATAAAATAAAAATTAAATGAGAATTATTTACTTGTGATGCTATGTTTGGAAACTTTGGTGTAGTAATGCATATTACTGGAGTTTTCTCCCAACACCAAACAATTATACTAACACCTCGACATGTGTTTCGATCATCTTCAAGAGGAACATCTTAGTCTTCGAGAGGTTTGGTGTTGAGAAAAAACTTCAATATTTATTTTTTGAAATTTTCCCATTAAATAAAGATGGATGGGAAACACTTGTCAGAAAAGCAAATTGGGACTTTTAATTATGTGATTCAGGGCTTCATGTCTTTTGTATTTAAGTGGAAATACTCTTTTGCAAAAAATTGAGCTTGTAAGGATGCAATCTATGTGAACACAAATCATCTAAACTGAACATTAGAAGTTGACAAATAAGTTGTTCTGATACTAATAGAAACGACTTCTAAATGTACTGATATCTTATTTTTTTTATCACTAGTAGACTCACCTTTATCAAGTAACTGAAGTATCTCAAGTTGTGCAGCAATATAAAGAGCTGTGAATTGAGCTGTACCTGCTACTGTCGAATCCATTTCGCTCAATCTGTGTAGATGTTCTTTGGCAGTTTGCAGAAGGCTAGTGTGCACTCTACAAGAAATAAGGTTGTGTATAACTACCCAGTATTCCCATCCAAAAATATTCATTATTATTAATCACTTTTCATTAGATGTTCACTGTTAAAAAATTTCTCGTTTGAAGTCTTTTTATTAACCAATCAATTGCTCCCGAGGAAAGGAGGAATTCGTACTTTTGAATGTGCGATACCCAGCATGATTTGGTCGGTATACACTAGACACAAGGATTGGTAACCGAGAATCCATTTTGCATATTTGCATTTAATATACCGAGTTTATCTTGTATCAGTGAAATACAACCTGATGTTATTATTTTTGTGAATATTCATGTTTCACAGGAAGAGTGTTTTTTCTTGTGGTTCTAGATTGTATCAAAATGTCTATAGAGGAAATTCGAAAAAAATTATGTAGCACCAGAATTTCCAAGAAAAATTAAATTTGACATTAGAAAATCAGAAGTACACATATAACTCAACAAAGACTAACACAGACAGATCCTAACTTTGAATCATATTTTTCAGATATTGTTAATATAAAAGGATGAGGAAGGTTCTTCAATGATGCCAAACTTGCGAAACCTATAATTTGTATAAACACTTCAAAAATAGTTTAATTTTGATTATTCGTAAGATCATCAAAAATTTTTGTAGAAGTTTCATTTATCAAATTCTTAGTTTTTTCTGTTTCAAATCAAATGCCACTGGTTTTGATGGTTTATCCATCAATATGATTAACTATTGTAGTCCGTTTATAGATAATTTTCTCACTCATATTTTGAATTGTTGCTTAGAAAAATGTTATTTTCCTAATCTATGGAAAATTGCCATTGTCAGACCTTTGAGTAAAGTTTCTAACCCAGTGAACTACACTGACCTCCGTCCTATAAGTATTCTCTCTACGCTTTCAAAAATATTAGAAAAACTCAGTCATCATCAAGTAAGTTCATATCTATATGAAAATTATATTATTCCTGATTGTCAAGCCGGGTTCAGAAGTGGGTATAGTACATCTGCAGCCCTCGTTCAGGTTACAGATGACATAATTCGAAACTCTGATAATAAAGAGTTGACAGCTTTAGTTGCCTTAGATTTTTCGAAGGCATTTGATACTATAAATCATTCTCTATTATGTTTCAAATTGAAATATTATGGATTCTCGGATGAGTTAGTCTTGCTACTATTTTCATATCTAACGAATCGCTGTCAAACGGTATATTATAATAATGAAATGTCGTCAACTCGAAATGTTACTTCTGGTGTGCCTCAAGGGTCAATCTTAGGACCTTTACTCTTTATAATCTACACCAGTGACATCTTGAATTCTATGAAACACTCAAAAGTTCAGGCCTATGCAGATGATACGCAATTGTATACCAACTCAAACATCTACAACTATGGAACTATTCAAAACCTCATCAATTCCGACCTACAAACCATTTCTAATTTAGCTGCGCAACATAATCTAAAATTGAATAGGAATAAGCCATTTGATGCTTTTCGGTAATAAAAAGAATAGGCTACAGTCGCACAACATCTCACAATTAGAATTGAGAACACCATACTTCCCGTTGTGAATTCCATTAAAAACCTAGGTATTATTATTATTTTTGATTCTGACCTAAAATTCGATTTGCTTAGAAAATCGTTTGGGACTCTCAAACTGATTTATTCAAACAGATATTTTTTTTGAAAAAAGGTAAAATTAGTAATATTTGAGATAAATTGATATGATGATGTTAATATCACAATATAACTTTCAATTGAATTATGAATAAATAAATAATAATAATAATGATATGCATATTACCGACCTTACAGAACTCTCCGCCATATCCAAATTATTTATGACATTATTCAAGAAGTTCAGGCTCTCAGGAACAGACATTGGTCTCGATAACGAGTTGAAGTTAGAATCTGGAAGGTTGAGAATGGGCACATATTGAGTCATTGTATCTCTTAGATACAAATAATGCCTGATGGTATGGGGTTCAAGCAACTGCATTATTGTGAGAGAGTGTTTGGCAGCATTCAGTATCAAAATCAGAAGACAGATATCTATAATTAGGTTAAGGTTTATAATATGTATGTTATTTCGATAAATTAAGGTTTCCAATTCAACTATTTAGGTTAGTTTAGGTCCAAAGTGGGTGGGACTACTCAGCCATCCACTATAACCCGTAAAGATTTATCGTGGTTCATACCCATACAAACTCCAGCAACTTCTAAACAAAGCCGATTAGTTTGTTCAGTCGGTGATCTTCCAGGATTGATGTTAGGGGAGAAACTCTGTCAAACATTGAAAACCTGATTTGGGCCATCTACAAAACAGAAAAGACATTCGAATCTGCACAAATTTCAAGTCTCTTCACGTGATGATTCAGTCAAAAGTGGAGTTGTTAGATAACCTAGGTTATCACTGGGTTTAATAATAATGATATACTTTATTGCCCAAAGAACCATAGTTCTTATTGGCAAAGTATCGCTAAAACATTAGCTTTTTCAAATGATTAATCATTTGAAAAAGCTAATGTTTTAGCGAAACATGTTATGATTATTTTCAATAAAGTTAGTGGAGATCAAATCGTTTAAGTGTAGTTTGTGAAATAACTATGTATATATACACATATACATACACATATACCCATACACATATTACTATCTTGGAAAGATAAAACCATCAACAGTGACTTTTATACAGCGTTATTGCTACTCCATATTTCATTGATTTGTACCATGTCACAAATCAATGAAAACGATGGCAAAATTGCTAAAATTGGTTTTACAAATGCTTCCGCATCCACTATATTCTCCAGATCTAGCCCCCAGCGACTTTTTTCGGTTCTTAGACCAAGAAAATGCTTGCTTGGAAAGCATACCAACTTCTCAGCCCAACTGTTGAATAGAATGTTTTTACTATTTTATGTGTGAGGTAAGTTTCCACAAAATTCTCCACATTTGATAATAATGAGTTGAATGGAGAACAACAGTTGAATTATGAAGGGTTGCATGAAATTACAACATTGGTTTCCTAACAGATTAAGAAAATATTGAAAATTCAGGGTCAGGCATAGCTTAAAAATACTTGTTACAGTATGCAACTGGCAATTTTGCTTCTCTCTCCCCCCTCACTCATTGGAAACATTTTGATTTCATGGACAGCACTCAAGTGTTTTTTTTCAACTAATTATATTAATTTACTTATTATTTGCTTCCCATTCAATGAACATCAAAGTTTCTGGAAGACATGATTGTTGCTGTAGCACAATATATCAACACAAAACACAACATTTTATTTTGTAATAAAAAAATAACACCTAGTTAATACCCCAGTCGACGAATATTACTGAAGCATCAACTCTGTAGTCTAGCCTACACCAGTTTATAAAAATAATAATAATAACTGATATAAAAGGATACACTGAGGATTTTCCACATCAGGTTCGGCAGTATCAAAGAATGGATGAATGTTCAAGAATTGTGGCACCAGGGGCAACACCAACTCCGGATGTTGGGATCCAACTTTCTGTAGACATCTGAAAGTAGACCTTTTGTCCTGCGGGTACCTTTTCAAGTTGTCTAACAACTTCTCCACACACATTTTTAGACCTGCAGTTGTCGACATCTTGCATGAAGCTAACATCCTATGCAATCCTTCCCTAACATCTTGAGAGAAATCCTCTACGGCACCTATAGAACCAATAAATACCATATATATCATGAACTGAAGAGGTGACAGCAACTAGACTCATAGTCAAGGCAGTAGTTTTTTTTCAATGAACTTTTCTATTCAAAGACTGTTTTAATTCGAAACAATGATCTAATTGAATTGAAAGAAATGTTGGTATCAATACTTGTTTCCTTACCAGAGTGTATAAAAATTTTATAGATATTTGAGTTCAACGGAAGTCTAGTCCACAAGAAGAAAAAATACATTTGGTGTTGGAAAATACCATCAGTGCGATAGGAAATATTACTAAGAAATTTTGGTATAATTGAACATCATGAAGTTAAAAGTTGCTTCATCCTAATTATAATTCCACTGATGAAGATTACTTGAGAAATTAAAAATCTTTGAATAAATAGTGACTTCGGTTTGTCTTGGCAAACGTGTTCAACGTGCCTTGAAGGTTCGCATCACTACTGTTTCTGAAGTGAATAATATAAATGGGAAGAAAATGATTGTATCCCACTGATTTCTTTCTTCTTGAAAATGATCTAATCAACCAAAGATTAATTTTGAATGATTAGCAAAATTCCATACTTCGTAACATTGATAACATCACTTACACACTTTTTTATGGTTATATTATACCTTTTTCGATGACGATGACCAAGAAATAATGGAATTTATAGCAGAAGAATGAAACAAGTCAGCATTAAATATATTTGATTGACAACCTGTCAAATGAATTCTCGAATCGAAGATAATCACTGTTAAATTTGATTCAGTTGAGTCATACAGTACTGGCTTTCAGAAAACAAAACTCTGAAAGTAAGACACTCAATATTTATTTCTATTACATGAATTGAAGCCAAAATTAGTCATGACTGCAAATGCGAAATCACGTAAAGAATGATAATTGAAAATATGTCCATCACATTGACGTGAAACTATTCCTCATATAAGGCAGGTATCAGCTAATTTCGAATAATTCTATGAAGATTCTGAAAGGAATGGAACGAACTTATTAACTAAAACTTGTCAAATACAGAAAGAGCTTTCAAACTGTGATATGATTGTAGGAAACGCGCAGGTTGTGGGGATTCTCAAGTTTCTTGATATTTGACAAACTATATTTGAATGTTCATTAGTTTCTTACCCAAAATTGTTTCCAATTGATCATCTCTTAGTATGATATGTTCGGATATCATTCTCAAACTGTCAATAGCTTTCAGTCTCACATCTTCAATTTCATCATTGAACATATCTACCAGAAAATCTAGAGCCATATTTGCAAATTGGGGGTTACTTATAGATAGTTGGCACAGGGATTCAACTGCTGCAGATCTAACCTCTAAAAAATATATTAAAAATGTCTTACATGTAAATGGAAAGATTTGCTACATTTAAATATTTATGTCTATCTGTACAAAAATGTCAAATTTTGAGTGCTTTTCAATGAACTAATTGCCTACCCAAAATCTCATGATCAAGAAATAGTTCAAAGGAAATTCAACTTTCAATAGACTATTATTGAGTTACCTAAAAATTCATCTTCCAATCCATGTACAAATGCTCCACACGCACCGCTACTCATCAAACTGATACTATCAGCATCAATAACTTCCTTAGGTGCATCGTCTGCCCATTTTTTTCCACTTGCCCACTCTCCACTAGTAACATTCTCCCAAGCCAATTCATGGGCTGTCCTCTATAAAATTACGATACTTCAAATGTATACAATCATCTATATCAAGGCCGTGCCCAGGGGGGTTCGGACTCCCCAGGCATTTATATCTTGTCGAATCTGCCAGTAACCACGTGAACCACGGAAAGGTCATTTTCCACACTTAGGCGGCTAAAAACCTATCAACGGAGTTCTTGCGGACAAGGGAGGCTAACCGAGTTGGCCCTAATAGCAATTCACAAATATGTCATCATTCCAATTGATTATGTTATAACAGAATTCGCCCATAAAAAGTATAGAAGGGTTGATTTTGTATTGTGAATTCACGAACTGAAAATTTGAGGTTTTTAAGTTTTAAAAACGAATATTTTACTACAGCATTTTCAGTGGAGGGCTTTTCCCATGCCAATGTAATGGTAATTAATCAAATTTGAATTAGCAGGTCTTTTTTATTGAGGAGATCCCCCCCCCCCCGAAACAAAAATCTAGGCACGGCGTTGATCTAAACACAATTTGGTGATACTTACTTTTCTCCTCATATTGGACATGAGTTTCTTATCCAAAGTTTGATTCAGAAACTTTGGACTAACTAATTTCATGGAACCTAAAAGACTGGCAGCCAGAGTTCTTACGTTCATGGATAGATCAGACACCCCATTGCAGATTTTACCAAAAGCATCGTCTATCAGTCTTATTTCATGTTCACTACCCGGCAGTAAAATTTCACTGGAAATGAAATGCCATTAAAATATACTTGAGAATGAAATATTAGTCAAAATAGATGCAAAGTACCCCGTACTTTCCTCATAGAAAATGGCTTTATGTTAAATTTATCATTCTGAAAAAAAATGTCTATGGAAGAGTGTTAAAGGTGAGATTTGTCCACTTTGTTCAACATGTTTGGACATTTTTAAGGAGTCTAAGTTTTATCTGTGTTTGAATATCACTTATGCATAGAATTGTTATCAAAATTGATTACAATTACAGTGAATATTACTGGAGGTTTTTCCCAACACCAAATCATTATTTTTAACACCTCGACACGTGTTTCGATCACCAAGTGATCATCTTCAACGAGGAAGATTAAAACAGTTTTAATCTTCCTATACCAAAGGTTCCAAACAGTGCATCACAAGTACAATTACAGGGCAAAAAATGAATAAAAGTGAGTATTTTTCATGGAAAATGAAATTATGAAAAACAAAAAAAGTATGTGAAAATCTACCAGGTACTAGATTTTTACTAAGATGTTACAAAAAATGGCAGGTGTATCTCATCCTCAATACACTGTATCTTTAAACCTCTTCATAAATACTACGATTTAAGAGTAAAACGAATTATTGAATAATTTTTATGTCTTTGAACTTACTTCTCTGGATATGAAATTCCCAACAGCCATATCAGCTTCAATACAACATGCCTCACTATCTCATAGTCATCCTTCAGGGCTTCACATACATCCACATAAATTATTGGATTTATTTTGAAGCCTCTTTCATGCAATGCTACTATCGTTAGGAAAGCTTGACATCTTACTCTAGCATCATCATTATTGAAGTACGAACTGATTAAATGAATTAATTTTTCAGTACCTTCATCTGTACATAATGGTGAATGCACACCAATTATTTCCAAACACTTGCGTTTGACAGCATGACTAGTATCTTTCAAGTAAGTTTTTGCTACATCCACCAGTTTCTGGTGGAATGCTGTAGCATTATCTGGGACAAGTTTACCTAGCTTCAATATGGAGTTCATGCCTTGAGCTACAACTTTGTGAGACTTATCGGTTTTTATAAGAGAAATTGTCTCGTCAATGATCGTAGCAACTTCAGAATTGTTAATGTGTCCTACATCACACAATAATGATAGAATCTTTACCCTCACAGTTGATTCACATTCTCCTTTGAAATGGTCACTCAACTTTTTAATTGCTTCTGCTATTTCCGAGACTTTCAGATCAGTTTCCGATATCTGAAGTATAATTTTTAGTGTTTCACCACTATCCTTGCATTCCTCAAGGAGATTAACCAGGGTTATAAAAGAAGTGGTTGTGGTCGCTTTTGGCTTCTTTACTAGTCGGAGTTTTTTCAACGGAACAACTGGTGGTTCCTAAAATTTCTTTTTAGTACACAAAAGTTAAGAGACAAAATAAATGCCTTACCTGGATTGTTTGACTATATTCAGCTAACGCTCGCTTTTTCAATACAGCGGCCATTGTACGTCACTTTTAGTCTTTTCTGAATTACCAAGAAATGAATTATCATTTGTAAAAGTTTATACTTGTTAAGTATACATTTCGCTGTTTCTGTTATCAAGTAATGACTTCAACGAGAAAAGAGGTTATGTCGTATTGTCAATTGTCATTTGTCATTTTAGGTCTATTATTGTTCTGAGCCAAAAATTGATTGTATTTGAAACGCATTGCCTGATGCTGCTAGCTGGTATAATAGAATGGCGATAAGGAGATGTGTCAACTCGATTTACCAATCCGATTCAACTCTAGCTGGGTTTAACTTGAATTAACTCGAGTTGAATTATCTCTAACTTGAGTATGAATACTCTCGCCATTGCGCATCAACCAATTGACACCGACGTGGTGCGAAGTTCGTCTATTATTTGTGAATAAATTCATTACTTATGATGCACTGTTTGGAACTTTTGGTGTAGTAAGGAAGATTAAAAATTCCTCTTTCTTTTTGAAGATGATCAGTTGGTGATCGAAACACGTGTCGAGGTGTTAAAAATAGCGATTTGGTGTTGGGAAAAAACTCCAGTAGGTAATGTTTAATAAATTCATTGGTTACAAATGTCACAATATTGCATATTTCACGACTATATTTGGAGTGTGGTTGTTTTTGTGGATTTTCATCGGCCGATTACATCAAATTTCTTTCTAGTCTTCAGTTAATAATGAATGCTTCAGAAGGTATTCTATTAAATAGAATACCTTCTATTACCTTGTGCTCAATTTCTTCTAAACATACTACCTTCTGTGGTTGTACTCATATTGTGGTGACTTTTCGAAGGTATCTTTGCTACAAGGCAGCGACGAAAAACCACAGAACTCATAATTCTATGAGTATGTGCCCAAATATGAGTTATGTTCACAAAACTTCATGAAAACAAAGAAAATGTCAATATGATATTCCTATTAAAATTTTCAGGAAATATTACATTTTTTATTTTAACAATATTACTTTCGAAAGGCATGAAGTGAAAGTATTGTTGACGTAATTAATGGATTATTTCGAAGATATTGCTAGACTGGTAATCGAAGGGGAGCTGAATGTTACATTCTTGTAAAATGATATAATAGATGAATTCAACAACTATTAGAATGTATGTGTTACTATGACCCTTTATGGCAATGGTCAATGCTTTTCTAGATTTTGACATTCGCAATGTTAAATCTAGATGTCGCCCACTCAGTAATACCATTGTGTAATACCCCTTTCAGAATTCGAGGTACTCTCGAATAGGGAAAAATTTCAACGATATGACGACAGGTTTTTCAACACATAGTGACATTAATTGATGAATGCTGGGGTTTGATGTGTGTTCAGTTGTTGAACTGTGAATAGGTGGAAATAGTTTTTGTGCGATTCATTATGCATGACAAACACTTACAGAATAAAACGGAGATAATAATTTTTTTCTCTAAAACTTTGCTTACGAATCATTTCTCAAATGTGTAACCATTTAATCATAGAAGTTTTTAGTTGAAATTTATCTCAAAACAATCAATAGGATGACTGCAATAGTGAATTATTTTTTGCTTCACCAATGATAATCAGGAAATTTCGAATAATCAAATTGCAAATGTAGTCCCATGTTATTTTTATAATTTTTCACACAAGTCTGGATGTTCAGTCATTGTTATTGTATTGAAATTTGTAAAAAACATTAGATACTAAGAAAATGTCAAAAACTATTTTTATCTGAGTAATAACTACGAAAATCACTTTTCAGGTCTGCCAGTACGTTCCCTACGGACAAAAATATGATGGGCTGTTTTTCCGCGTTTTGCCCCGTGTTCTACGTTTTTGAATCTCCAAAGGATTGTTTCCAGAACATTTCCGCAAAGTCTCATTTGTCATCTTCTGGTGATGTATGGAGTTTTTCAGCTAGACTAATTCATTCGAACTCAGTGCCTCAATTTACAGGTATGGATGCTCCCATTTATATACCTGAGTTCCTCCCACAACCCGTGTTAGCCCGATTACCTGAATGATTATCGCTAAGTTATGCTCTTGCGTTGTGAGGTCTAATTGATTTTGTGTAGTGACAAGATGGATCTCCATGTTATTGGTAATCTTATTTTCGCGTCATCCTTTTTGTTCATACTTCTAGGTCGTTTTTCAATTTCGATAGCCTCTCTTATTGTTCTAGAGTGGAAGTTTTCATTGCTTGCTGATGTTTTTGTGATCTCGAAATTGTGTCCTGTCGCCAATACGTCGGATATAGTTTTAAGTTGTTTCTAGCAAACATTGCACACTTGAATAAATGAAGCGACAGAGTGGTCAAAATTTTTTTGATGCAACTTTCATAACAAAATATAAGCTTGATATTTTTTTCTCGACTTTGGAAACTCTGGAGAATTCATTTGATCTCAAAAAGTCTAAAACAGAGCATGCTCCAGGGCTGGGCCTGCGATATGGTATAAAATAGAATATCATGGAATCAAAAAACTATGTTAAATTATAAAATAATTATTCAAAAAATTCTCAACTTTGTCGTTTCTGATCATTAGTTTTTATTTAGTCTGGCAACGATACATGGCGTTGAGAGGCAATCGCGGGGAATCCCCGGCCAGAAACCTCTGGACTTTCCCTTGATAGAAAACCAATCAAAGTATCACAGATCACAGGCAGACGCAATCTCCTTCCATGTTCCTATAGTATAATTTCTAATAGTATTTGATGTGAGAATAAATAATAGTGTTACGTAGTTTCAAAAAGATAAAAAAGTGTTTTATAAGTAGAAATTCACATTGTGTCGTGAAGAAAAATAATAGCATCGTTTAATTATTTTTTCTGACGGAGCTGAGGCCTAATAACTCTTCTAAAGCCATATTTTTTCCATCAAGAAGGGGTGTAAAATTAAAACACGAAATTGTTTTTTGATCCACTGTTTTGAAGTGTCACCCTTAGCACGATAACTCACGATACCTATTATGAAATTTCAACAGCTTTCTTTCGACTGAAGAAGCGGTGAATGCAATACAACTAGCTCCTCCTATGTGTTAGGCCCGAAACTTTTCAGCCCAAGTAGTATATTTATGCACTATACACTAACTATCGTGTAATAAGGAAAAGTTCTTAGAAGTGAGCAATTAGGTGAAAGAAAACTACCTGTTTAAAACACTATTGGATTTTTAAGATTTGTTGGATTTTAGTGAAAACAAAATGTGACTGAATTTGATTATTATTTTTCCTTATAATAGAACAAGGTACTTGTTTGGATTTTACCTACATTGAAATTTCTAAATTGAAATTACCAATATACTAAAGAGAGTTAATAACCATTTCTTTATAACGCAGTGGTCATGTTATTGGAGTTTTGATGGTTCGGAGGTCTATTTACGAGTATTAATTTATGTGATTTATATACTTCCAATGCTTTGTCACAAATTTATTGTAAGGATTTCTGTAAGTGAAAAGCTATATTTTCTCGTATTTTTAACAGAGTTATGTTTTTTTAATCTTGAAAGTGTGTTCAATGGCTGAATGATAAAAGAAAAGGAGAAGAAGAATGGTTCAAATCTAGTCGAAATGTACAAACGAACTATTTCCCCGTTACATCTTGCACTTATGAGGTATATATTTATTTCTATGTAACATTTCTACCTATCCTCTTTGTTTGTTTGTCAGTATGATGTGGAATTAACTTATTGCTAGTAATGAAATCAAACACTCATGAATTTGAATATGTTTATTGGTTCACAAATATTATATTGAAAAATTATAAAACGTAAATATATGAATCTAAGTATAGAAAATACTCTTAATAAAATCAATAATACAAATAAAGAGAAAAAAGATAAAATCTGGTACAACTATACATAACGTAAACTGTGTAAAAATGTTCTATGGCGGCGTATAAACAAAAGTTTATAGGGTGATGCATTAATCATTGTATGTCTCTTTTAGTGTATATTCGTATCAAATATGGAGTATTATTTGTCTTTATGAGAACACAGTAAACACAAAAAATATATCGGCATAAGTGGGCCAATAAGAACAAGCGATTGAGATCCAAAAAGAGTATAAAAAATCCCTATACCATGGCAATCTGTCATAAATAAGAAAATGAAGGTTCACAAACGATATGTTTGACATACTGATATATATTACAAACTCGGGGGAATTGTACAGCGTCTTCTGATAACAGGATGCAGAATCAAAAATAATTGAAAACATTAAGAATTTCACTCTAAGAGTGTTATGTTCACTATTGTCTTTGACAACCAAATCTTTGATAGGATCTTATAACAACCAATTTTTACAAAATTGTAAAACGCGTATAAATATTTATAAAATAAACAACAATGGAAGATGGTAAAATTACAAAATGATCAACAAAATACGGCAGTTAGATACTGCCTTTGTACTCACATTGCAATTTTCGAATTAACAGCATAGAATTACATAAACTATCCCTTTGCCGGCATCGTTTTATTCAAGGAATGATTAACTTTCATAAATCATACTGAGTATGATTTATGAAAATCAGATGTTTTTCTGTGAACAGCCAATGTAGAATATAAAGTTTGTTGATCCGATACTCATGAAATTCCTCATTAAAAGATTATTCATTCATTAAAAAAATGTACTCAAACATATAAGAAAATGATCGGTAACAAATCTTTTTTTCATTTACATCAAATATGAAATTGAAGATGGAAATATTTCCAAATAATAGTTTTCAGATATTTATTTCTCAGTATATGATAAATAAATACTGAACATATTTTGATTTACAAAGTGAAGTTCTTTTGGCATACCACGAATGTGAAGGAACTGGACGAGGGAAATTTACCTAATTCTATTAAAACTACAATTCAAATTATACAAAATAACATATTCGAGTAATAATACTTTTTACAAAATGAGTATTTGAAGGTAAGAAAGGTCAATTTAATGCCTTGTTGTATGGTAATCCGTAGTTAAACTATATTTTAAGCGGCTAACAAAATATCTATAAGCTCTCTAGTAGGGGTACAAGGTGTGCCAAAAAACTTTGTTCTTTGAATGCATATCAAGATTTTTCATGATTTCATATTCATCAATCACAAATTATTGCTAGAATCTAATGTCATTTTTGAAATGTCTTTGTTCAGTTTTTGGAACGCACCTTGTATATATTCAGGGCAGAATAATACTTTTAATATTAGGAAATATACTTAGTATTAACGTAGAAAAACTAAAGCTACCCTGTACATAACAAGTTTCATTATAAAAAATATGATTTGAAATCAATGATAAATAAATAACTAAATTTAAAAGTATTTAATAATACAGAAATGGCAAGAACAATTTTAGGCAGATTTCACTTACGCAACATCGTTTTTTTGAATATATAATTTTACATTCAAAAATCACAGCACAAAAATACAAAAACGATAACAAAACAAAGTAAGCTTAGGAACAAGACTATGAAATTAAATTGCGAAATGAGTATTAAATTTTGTTCATTTTTTATACATTAATATTTTCAGATAATTCGACATTGTCGATACCAAATTTCAAAAAGAGAAATATGTATTGTATCTTGAGGATATTGCTTCTCAATTTCTCCCATTCATTAAAAAATAAAAAAAATCATTCTAGCGAGGTACTCATGAAAAATAGTTTCTACTTTTGCCAAAAATATGAATAGTTAATTAAGCCCTCTCTAGAATGATATTTCAACTAGAAATTACACGGGGACGAACCACGATTGATTGAAAGTAGGTAATTCAGATTTATGGTGTGAAATGAATCCAACTCTGAAACTGAAACACTCTTTTCAACGCATCTTTCATCAAAAGTTACTGCACTAACTCCTTGCAACTTTGTTATATGGGGGGTCACATCTACCAAATTGGTTGATGACGATGCGTCAAGAAAAGTATTGTAGTTCTGGTATGTGGAAGCAGTTTTCGTTTTTGAATGAAACCTTGAATTTTTGGTGTTTTCCAATGATAATTCGATCTGCAATTTTTGAAAAATCTTTTTCTCTGGGTAATAATTTATTCAGTGCATGTACGAATGATTTTTAACAACTGCTCAGAAAAAAATGAAAAGTTATGCTTTTTCTGAGTATTGAAGTTAACCAAATTGTCGGAATTTGAAAACGAAAGTGTGTAGAGTGACGGAAAGATATCAATTTAATACGAGTATATTATTATTTTTATTTTTTCTTTAACGTATTGCTAAAGAAAATTAGTATTTCATCTAAATTTATTTTTCCAACTAAAAAGGATATATTGAGGATTATAAAACGATTTTTTATGAAAACTATGGAAAAAAATTAATAGAGACAAAATATTTCAGATGGATTTTGTCCCTTCATATGATTTAGATTTCAAAAATTCTGACAAAGGAAATAATCAATTGTTTTGAATAGATTTTTAGTTTTCAAATAGTTTCTAACTGAATCAATCACAGACTGGAAAGGCACGTTAATCTATTGTTTTGTCTTGTGACAAAAACGATTAGAACCATTTCAAAGTTCTCTACTTCGAAATCGGTTTCCATTATAAGAAAACAAACCCTTGCTCACAACCACAATTTTATCAGAAATAGCTCAGTAAGTAGGTTCCAAATGATGAAAAAACTTAACAAAAAAATTGAAGATTGTAGTAGGTGAACTCATTTTTTGTATTTTGTTTTGTTTGGATAGAAATTTTACATTATTTTGTGAGTGACTCTAAAGTTGCCTTTAAAAATTTACCAAGAAATACAATGAGCTTCTATTCTAACCTCAATTCCGTAAAAGTGACAAGTGGCACCTTCCATGCGTTGTTTATATGCAAAATGGGTTTCAAACAGATACTTCGAGTGTAAGATGATAGCGTGTTTCCAGTTAACACTTTTTCCATCACAAGGAGTATGTTTATGAACGTAATCTTGGTATATCAATTTGAAATCATGCCATCAATATCACTTTCAAACCTACTTGGTGAGTTTTTCATTTTGTCTCTGAAATGAAATGTAGTGATTATGAACTCTAAACGTAATTTTCAAAAGTTCATATGGAATTTGAGTGCTTTATATTTCTTCTCCATTCCACGGAACATGGAAATATTTGCAAAACTTCAACAGAATCATATTCAGAAAACTTTGAAGGATAAAAAGGAATTCGGTCTATCCCCGTGCATCGTAATTTCATTCGCGAATATTCTCCAGCCAATGCAAAATATCTCGAAAACCTGAAACCGAAACCTTTCGAATTTCACAGAACTGTAACAAGCTACCTCGATTTAGCCTTTCCTGCCGAGACATTACCAGCCGCAGCGGCATTCTTCTGCGCTATGTGGGTTTGGTAATGCTTCGCCAGATGGGCTTTCTGCCTAAAACTCTTCCCGCATAAACTACATGCGAACGGCTTCTCCCCCGTATGGGTTCGTATGTGGACGTTCACGGAGTACTTGTCCTTGAATCCTTTCGAACAGATGCTGCAATAGTGTAGGGACCGCTCCTTCCGCACTCCGTTGCTGGTGGAGGTGGCGCTTTGCACGGTCGCTTGTCCTTTGCTGGTGTTGCTCTGCCTCTTGTACTTTTTCGTGTTTTTAGTGCTAGTAACTACTGGAGCAGTAATCTGGATCGGCGAGGTAAGGTTGTACAGAATTCCGATCTGATCGCTGCTGATAGGACTAATACTATTGACCGTGTTGTCTCCGGAAGTATCTATCTGGCAGTACTCCGCCACCTCGTTCGCGATTCTCTTCAGCTTCTCAAAATCTTCCGGGTATGGATGGTCGAGCTGACTGAGCAGGAGATCGTCTACAGTGTGGGTGCTTCCAGGGTTCTCCGTTTCTCTGACTACTCTAGAGCCCACGTGCTCCTCGAAAACAACCTTTCCGTTTGCATCCAAGCCGGCTACTATGGTTGGTATGGTATCTTGTTGGTCCTCCTTCAAAAAAATCGTTTCTGTCTTGGTTGGCGGCGTAGAAAGCACTCTACGGAGTTCAGCGTTGTTGGTCTCCGGCTTTGGACTGCTCTTGATGGTGGTACCATTGTAGCGGATGAACGCTTTTCCTTGCAACGCACTGCGTAGTAACGAATCCGGCGAACTACTGCTGCTACTACTGGTGTTGTTGTTATTTGTCATCTTCCAGTCGTTATTGTTGTTGGTGGTGAAGCTATCGTGTGCTTCAAGCATAGGGGTGTCTATGATGAGGGAATTCTGCAGCTCATCCTTATTGTCGGCGAAACCGCTGTCTTCATAGGTGTACGTTTCAGATTTTATGAGGCCATCCGTATTGGGACTGATGGTGCCTTCATTGTAATTATTGTAGTTGTTCATTTGTCCACTCGGCATTATACTCAGTATTGATTCTATGTCGAGGGCACTGTGTAGATGCTCCATTGAGCTGGGGCTGGAGATCGGCTCTTCTTCTTTCGGTAGGCGGTACCAAGTGGCGCTTTGGTCAATGCCGTTTAATACTGTCAGGGTGTATATCTGTCCGTCTGTATTGTTATTGTTGTTTTTTCCAGGACTGAGTTGCTCCGCGCCGTTTTCGTCCGACATCCAACAATATTTGTTTAAGTCATCGAGTAGGGCAGTTTCTATTCTCACTGTGTCTTTTTCGCTCCACAAATTAGCGTCGAAGTTGGCCACATTTTCTGAGGTAGTGGTAGGTATCTCCGTGATCAGCATGGTGTTGTTATTCGTTTCTTTGTTTTCGTCGGTTTCGAGGAAGGCGTTGACGCTTCGCATTTGTTTGGTAAACTGTTGGATGGACTGCGTGTCGTTGGCATCTGGTGGGACGACAAAGTCGAAAAAATCCGTTTTTGAAATGTCTTCGTTGCGGAATGCTTCTGTTATGTCCATTATCACAGTTTCTTTAAGCTCCATAAATTGTTCAGGGCATTCCACTATTCATCTTCCATACGCTGCTATGTTTGGCTTGAAGTTTGGAATCTGTAACAAAAGAGAAACTGTTAATGTGGGGTCTTTAATGGAACAACGCGATGACTGCCTCTTCTGCTAGTCACTTGCCGACTAGGACGCGTTATTAGAAATAATGACAGTTTTTGTGCGGTGGGAAATATTTTGCTGACTCATGATTAGGTAGAAGCATGAAATCATAATTGAATTCACTTTGAATTTAAGTGAAGAAAACGCTTTGAAGCGGATAACTGGGTAGGTAAATGAAAACTCGAGAGCTTGATGCATGCCTATTTTTATTTTTATTTCTAATAAGGTTGTTTAACGTATTTATTATATGAAATATTGACCTACATTCTTTATATTATTATATATACAGAAGTTTATGAATCGTCAAATACATCCGTTGTCTGTAATGTGGTATATATATAAAGTAATGCTTCAATCTAAAGTAACAAAAATCATAAATTCATTTGTTACACTAAGCTGGGCTGGTGTTATGAATTTTTTGATTTTCAGTACACAATAAAACACTTCCGACATTTCCGAATGTATTTTTATTACAATTTTGAAATTGAAATGGTGTCTCACTAGATCGTATCCTTTGAATCGAAAAGAGTATATTTTAAGGCAAGATCAGTTTTGGGAAAAAAACTTTTGGCATATCTATTTCTCCGTTTTCAAACAAAAAACGTGGGAAACTTCTAAAGGAAGGAGTGAAGCAATAGTTGAAAAAATATTTTGAAATCAATGCTTTTTTTTCCATTGAAAGTTTTTCATTTTTCTTGTACAAAGATGGAGAGATACAGAGCCAGAACCTTTCTTTCCCTTCTTTGAATAAGCAACGTTCTTTCAGTTTTTGGCATAAATATTTCGAGTCGTTTTAAACTGATACGAATAATTAATATCTCCTATTGAGGAAACGTTGATGTTTCTTTGTTATAGACTGTTTATTTCAATGTACTTTTTACATTATTTATATTTTCGTTCCGTCTCGTCCCATCCCGTTCTGTCATGGTCCGTCCCTTCCCGCCTCATTCCGTCTAGTCCCGTCCCGTCCCGCACTGTTTATTTCAATGTACTTTTTACATTATTCAGATTTCTGTCTCGTCCCGTCGCTTTCCATCCCATCCCATTACATCTTATCCTATCCTATTGTATTATATTTTATTCTATGAGGGTGTGGTACCGTTTTTACTTCAAAATTCAATTTCAGTCAGTACAGGAATTGGCCTATATGGTGATTTACATGATGTCCAACTTACTGATGCATTCAATTCTGAAAATCTTGAAATTATGCTTATAACGAAAAAAAAAGGAAAAATTTCGGATTGTAATTTGTTTCATATAACGTTACTTTGTATTCCATGAATAGGATGTTTGTCAAAATGAATTTTTCGAAGTGGATATTGTTTTCGGTGTGTATTCCTTGAGATCACAGCTGCGTGAAATCTAAAGACTTGAACGCACGACTGAAGAGTACTCATCGCAGTAATGAGAATGAAGTAGTGTTTGTGGGCTATTGATAGCTGGCAACCTTATTACAATGAAACTTCTCTGAATTGTACGTCATCGATTCTAATGGCACCAATAAATACCATTTTTATCGTCGAACGGCGGTACTTCTTCAGCCGTTGATAATTTGATTGGTTTAACAGAGAAAATATTAGAAATCTACCTCACAAGAAGTATCTTTCTTTCAAATGGATTTTTAATTCGTTGATCATAGAGTAAACAAACATAATTGATATCATTGTGATGCAGTGTGGTCAAGCCGTGGGTGAAACAGGCAATTATACTCGAAAAAGACTGTAATCAAATGAGGTCTGAAAAAAACGATGCCAAACACTACGGGCTATTAGGTGAAATGGGTGGTTTAAAATATCACAGTGAAAAGAAGCAACCCAACCCGTTCAATTGATAATTTTGAATGTTTTGGTGAATGTTTATTCATTTTAATTCACTGAGAATAACGAAAATAAAATTCACTCACAATAAAATATATTTGTGTATAGTAGAAGACCCGAATTGGAATTGTTCATTTGCTCAATCGATGAAAAGTACTTCATGGGTGCAAAGCTGATACTAAATATAAATTCACCCACCGGAAATTCAAGTTCTTGGAAAAACAGTGATGAAAAAAATATTTTTTTCATAGACAACCCCTTTGTCCCCGCGGCTGGCGACCCAGTTGGAATATTTAAAAGTAAATTTTTATTGCCCATCTACAATATTAAACTAATCTACATACAAAATTTCAGTCTCCGAAAATATACCGGAACGGAGAAAAAGTGATAAGAAAATATCTTTATTTTATGAACGCGCCTTTTTTTCTGCGGCGGGCGCCCCAGTTGGAATATTTTAGATACTGTCTTATTGCAAATCTATAAAATGAAACCAACAGGCATATAACATTTCAGCCTCCGAAAATGTAGCGGTACAGAGAAACAGTGATGAAAAGTTAATTTTCATATGTAAAGGCCCCACTTTTACTCCCACGGGGGCGCCAAGTTGATATTTTAAAAAATACTCCCTTAAAGTGCATCTAAGAACTAAGAAGCACCAATATACTAAATTTTAGCTTCCTAGGAGTCACCAGTACGGAGAAACAGATATAGCCAACCTTCCGATATATCGGAGGAAAGGCCATTCATATACAACAGAAACAACAAAGGACCGAGTATGCTCCCTTGAGGCGTTCCAAAGGGAACATCAAAACAATCAGAGTAACATTTTTGAACCTATACAATAATCTGTCTATTCTGTGTATATGATAAAATCCATTTATTTACTGACTCTCTCATACCAAGCGAATCAAGTTTTTTGGATAGGAAAGCAGCGATGAACAGCGATGAAACTAACAGCCTGGAAATTGTATTAATGGAACATAGATGCACCATTGATAAAATTGATTCAATTTACATTTAGTTTTTATATAGATGCGTTCACCCGAGGATGTTTCAGAAAATAATCTTTAGGAATACCACTCGATTGGAAAATTTTCTCAGTCAAATGCCTATTTTTCATAATCATGATACTTTTGAGTAACACCAATCGGTTTCATCATTCTGTTTGTCCTCATAGTTTTCTTAAATAACACAGTTTTTGTACGATACTCGTCTGAAACATCTTACTCGATCTTCATTACGGCAAGAATGTCAGTCAACCTCCTTCATCGATATTCCAATGATGTAATTAACAAAGTCATTTCGAAAATGAAGGCAAAAACAAATTAACAGCTTCAGTGCTGAAAATACCGTTGGAAATTAAATCCCAAAAAGTCAAACGAAATCTTAATTGAAATGAAAGTACCTAAATTAATAATGTCCTCTTGAGGAGTATTTAATATTGATCACATTATCTATTGAGGTTGCTTCTATTATTTCCAGGTGAAATCTAAAATTCGAAGTCATCTTCATTAAACTGATTGCAGGTATGATTTTTCAAAAAAAAAACTTCAGTCAGATGAATTAAATACACAAACTGGATGTGGAAATTGGCACATTTTCATCGCCAATTACTTCTAAATGAACTACAGGACTATAGCGCAAGTTGTATGCCAAGCAATTCATTTCGAATTTCTCTTCTACAAAAAAATGGCCGAGTTACTTCTTAGAATCTGTCGCGAGTAATAATGACTCATTGAATTCACTGATGTTCAGCCAGTTTGTAATTGAAAGCTTCACACCTGAATACGAACAAATTATATAAATTGATGATTGTTTCTGATTGATGATACACGATCAGATTACGGAACTGGATAGTCTGATTATAAATCGAAAAAAATGAATCATGCTGAATGGTGTAGGGCTTTTCAAAATTAACGCACTGAATGTCCCACTGTCTAGAGCGAAACTAATTTCTGAACTAGTGAGTGAGTCTGTATCGTGGATTGATCAACTGATTATTGTTTCTTGTTTTATAATTATGCGTATCGGAGTGAGCTCGGTAGATATTGATGGTCTTGTGGATCTGTTACAGGCAATAAAAAATATACGCTGAATATAGTGACATAATTTTGAATTCGGTAAAGTTCTTTCTACAAGATTCCTTATATCCCCCACAAGCTAATGTCCTAATAGCTTTTTTCTGTATTCGGAGAACTTTAAGTGAGAGAATAGAGCTTCCTCATTTTCGTATATCATAAGTAATGTGTGAATGGAATAGGTCAAAGATATTCTCAATGCTTTGAAACTGGTTACTTTTTTCAGTTGTCTTAGGAGATATAGTTGATTAGAAAGTTTAGAGCATAGTTGGTCAAAATGGCAGTTCCATTCCAAAGATTAATTCAAGGTTATACCCAAAAGTTTAACTTTATTTGCTGAGTTCTCACGACAGTTAGTTGAAATCTTTTAGCATTTATTAGGGTTTTGTGTCAATTTGTTTGTTAGAATACATTCTTCTGCTCTATGCTTCGTCAATTCTATTGAATTTGACAATATTTTTTAATCAAAATGTGATTCGTATATGGTTACATCATCTGCAAACTGCATGCATGATGCCGGTGACAAGTTTTGCGGTAGGTTACTGATATATAAAATGAATAGGAGAGGACCTAATACGGACCCTTGGGGTACCCCATAATATGTAATGAAAAGAGAAATGAAAATTTCTATGGTTTTTACCACTTTTAATTGTAACTAACGTTACTGCAGTTTCGTCCTATATGGACATTCTCAAACTTATACAATAAATTCAATAAACAATAAAAATAAATGAAACTGAGTTTATTGTAAAAGTTTGAGAATGTCCATATAGGACGAAACTGCAGTAACGTTAGTTACAATTTAAAGTGGTAAAAAACATAAAAATTTTCATTTTTCTTTTCATTATGATCTCCTACCACGTATAGTAACGGCTACATCCATCAATTTACCCATAATATGTGTTTCTCAGGGCCTAGTTGAACCAATAGCTCCATAGCCCTACAAAAATAAGACAACAATCTTTCGATTCAAACTCATTGAATAACAACAATTCATACATGATATATAATAATAACAATGGTTTTTATTGATGGTTCCATACAATTA